CCGCCAGGACACGGCCGGCCTCATTGTTGTAGCGTAAGGCCGTGTGAATCAGCGAGCTGCTTTTGCGCATCGGTGAAGATGCTGAGGTAGGCGTCAGGGTCAGGTGCGACCTCCACAGCAGCTTCCACGGCTGCGTCATCATCGGTCCTGGGCCGTTTTTTCTGCGCCGCAAGGAGGAAATGGGTTGGGATGTGTTGCCTTTGCATGCATTCATTTTATTTGCCGACATTGACATGGAGCAAGGCATCCCATGAAAATGCACAAAATGCACGTGATGGCAAACACGAACCTAAGAGAAACACTTGTAACCCAGATCGCGTCAAACAGTATAATTTGGAAAATGGGAATGAGAGAAATGGTCTGCGGTAACCGTATGACGGGAAAATGAATGGTTTGACCCGATCCGGACCCGGTCATACCTTATTGCGGACCGCACCCTCGGCGCAAGCGGATTTCCTCTTTGTTGCAGCGCGCATAGTAGCAATACGCGCCGATTGTCGAGGGTGTCCTTCTTCAGCTCCTCGTCGCGAGCGCTGTTTTGGCGGACGAGATGGAGGCTTGCTCGAAGGCCTGGTGACCTGTAGTCCAAGGCTTGCTAGCTTCTTTAAATTCCTCTGGATGATGAGAGCTCTCTCTTCTTCAAGTGTGTTCCTCAACGACCGTTCTGGGGACACAGACCTTGAGGACCCCTGCCCGCAAGACCTCTGAATCCCTTGTGGCTTGCTCTTGAGGGGCCCTCATTAGTAACACATTGGTGGAGTGGAGGGCAAATCGTGGGGACTGGTCGCCCAGGCCCTCGAATGGTCAGACCGTGCCCTGGGCGGGGCTTCTCACTGAAGGTACGGCTGATGGTACGGCTGATGGAATAACCGAATGAATGTTGTGCACAGGGACGTATTGGTGAAGTAATAGGTAATGGGAGTGGCACATTGCTGTGCAAATCGACAGAAATTGCTTGGGGTCCGTTCCATACGTTGACTGACTAAATCATCGACGCGGAGAAGCCCATCCTTGGTTGGATAGCTGGTGATTGTTGGGGCACGTCTGCTTCGCTTGTATACTGGGGCAACTTCCTGGTGCCAGCCAGTTTTTGAAGGGCCTTACCCTCTCGGCGCAGAGCTGTAGGGGCCCTCATGGTCGGTCTTGTCGATGATTTCAGCACTATGAACTTACTTCAGAATACAGGACTGACTCTCTGTTTCCTGCTTGAACTATGGAAGGGGCAAACCACTGTAACTTGTGCGTGTTTCTGCTATGTTTTCCGCACCGTTGCATTCTCAAAGCCATTCTTTGCTTAAAACCGTAGTAAGAATGCTTGAGACTGGCGTAAGAACATTCTCAGCAGCGCCAGCATTCTCAAGCCATTCTTAGAATTCTTAGCGTTCTCAGGAACGTTCTTTAGCATGCTTCCATTTTGGATATCCAATGGCTGCGCACTTCCATGACCGCCAGCCCAGCGCCTGTGATCTATCTGCAATGGATCGATCCTAGACTGTCTATGTTTACATCTCTGCCTAATGGCTGGTGTTTTATCAAGTTGATTTCTGAATGCTTGCAACCGCAGCTGACTAATCTTGCAATCTGAATGCCACACTGCTGTGGAAGCCTCTGTGTGTGGACTGGACGTCCCCCCTCCCTAGCCAACACATGCAAGTAGGAACAAACTGTATACTATACGCGTGTATGTATGTTGTTACAGGGTGGTATAGCTTCACCAGCGGCCCCCTTTCCCGAGGCAGTTCCCTGCTCTCCCCTGTGAGATGGGCACCCTAATCCATTCACACCATCCGACTTCAGAATGTATTCGTTGGCTTCAGCAACTCACCACCAGCATCCAACCAATCTTGCGGATCAACGGCGCCTCAACTTGGTTCCTGGTCAGTTCGCAAGTTGATATTATCACGTCCTACACCGTCCACAAGATGGGGGCCCACCTCCCAATTCAACACCCCTCAAACACACCGAGACACTCCGGGAACATAAGTCAGGCCTTAACATCTGCCAGCCACCTGCCAGCCACCTGCCCCCGTGTATGTATGTCCATCTTTCGCCGGTCCCCGTGTACTTCAAAATCTCGCAGCTTCTGTGCACCATTCAGACATCGGCAAACGCTTTGGGAGCTTCAGGTCGTGCTGAAACTCCCAAAAACAGAAATAGAGTTCCCAAAGCCGGCCAGCTTGCAGATCGTACTCTGTATACGAATGTCAAACTATTGCAAAAAACGCATTTTCATTCCGGGGCCTTGTAACAGAAATTGTACTGGAAGACAGAAATAGACCCGTTCCTGAAACCAGGAATACCCCTTTTGCCGATGTCTGGCACCATCTGAATGCATTTGTTGGCGACCCCGCTCCCACCGTTAACACTCAGTTTCACACCACCTAAAATTTGCTTGATTGCCGCATCAACATGTCGACAAAAACGTGCCCATCCACACAGGACCTGTAGACGGCTCCACGCATGCTCTCAAGGACACACAATCAAGTAGTCTGATTGATACTACTGTCTTACACAATTTAAGGTCCTGGGTTTGATTCCTTAGAGGTTAAGTTAGAGGTTGGCGCACTCTGGCGGAGAACCGTAAGGCCTAGTGGAAACATCCCGTACACTAAGTCCACACTAGCGTGTCACAAAGTTAATGGGACCTCAGACCTGCCATTACCTTTCAATCCTAGCACTAATTATTTGGCGGGCAACGTTTAGGAGCTGGTTTGTGCCTTCTGACCACAGACCTTTGACATGAGCAACTAGCTATCTTTTTTGGGGCGGGGCCCCACAGCATAGCATCCAGCTGCAGGGGGGCCCCTCTCTGTAGGATTGCCCATGTCCGTGTGGCCGTGTGGCCGTGTGTAACGGACCAAAACATAATATCTCGCCCGGCTGAAACGCGTTATTGGTACTATATAGCATTTTCTATTGCAAGGTATCTTGCCTGTAGCCAACGAAGATCGTATGAGCACAAACAAGTTTGGCTGCCTCCATTGATCGAGCTCAAAGTCACATCAACGCCTCTCGGGCTAAATTTAATCTCAAAAGGTGCCGTGTATCTCATAATTCAATTCTGAGATGACGGTGTATGATAACTCAAACACCCAGCTTGTGTTACCATTTGCCCACAAGGGCATTCCGGCTTGCCACCAGCAGGCCGACAAATTTGCTTTCATTTCTCTATGAAGTATGCATACATGAAGTATGCATATGCATGCTGTTCGTTTGTACCATTACTTTGGCCAATGGCAGTGTGCCGCGGCGGCTGCGGGGCGGATTGCTCAAGCCACTGGCGCTTCAGAAATAAACATAAGACAGCACATGAAAGTGCTGCGGGCTTTTGGGAAGTGTGTCGAGCTAGGCTTTGAGGGGGCCGCCAAGGGCGCGTGAGCAGGCGGGTCAATGCCTGAAGGGGCGCCTACGGCAGTGCGTATGGTGCTGTACGGCACTGTTTTCCGTGTGTGTGATGGCTGCGGCACCAGACCACAAAGCAAACAGGCTGAAGGCTGGCAAACTGAGCGTTGAGCATCCAGCCTGGACCGCGGACTTGGCGGCCAAGCCCCTGCTGTGTGCCGGTAACGGCACCTCAGACTCATACGCTTACACCCAAGCAAAGGGCTGTCAAGTGGCAGGTCGCGGACCTCCTGACTACGTGTAGCGGCCAATGACTCTTACCCGTGTCTGCTAGGTCCCAGCGAGACACCATCTCTTCAACACGTAATGAGCCCCGGCTTCCTGCCTCCCGTGCTCTGACAAGCATAGCTCCCACAGCATCATTGCTGCAACAAGCATAGCTCCCACGTTGACACTACCCTATAGGGTAGCTAGCTACAGGACTGTACGGATGCAGGGGGCCCCCGCCCTTGTTCCGGCTTCGAGGAAGCCGACACCCGACTTGTCCTTCCTGCAAACGCTGCGTTGACTTTCGCACGCCCAACACAGACAGCCTCAGAAAGCCGCCAATTTGTAATGGAGCCCGCGTTTAACAGGAAAAGCCTACGATACATATTTTCCTTACAGACCTTGACAATTAGCAGCAATTAATACCTGGCGCTAAAACATGCAAAATACGAAAACCATTTTGGTTTCGGCGCTCCTTAGTGTACCTAGTGGAAACACTGTCACACTAGCACTACACTAAGTCCACATGTGCCCATAATGTACCGAAGATAGGAAAGGTACTAAAGTGGAAACACCCTGTTATTTTTTGTAATGTAGCAACATCCATTCATGTAAACTTACAACAGACAATTGCGGCAGCTCGATTTATGTGGCTCACAAACCATCTCAAACTCCTCTCCAATAAAACCCGGAACTCATAAGTGCCCCGACAACTGTAGGACTTAGGACCTGTCTCGCTTCCTTGTGCTTCTGAGCTCCGAATCCTCCTTATGACAGCTTTTCCTGGCTGTCGTTGTTTCCCGTGAGCAATAATGTGAGCAATAACAATGGGGTAAAGAGGTTCCCCACCACCTCTACCGACCCCAACATTCTCATATATATGATACACCATAATGTTACTTTACCCGCAAACAAGCCCAAAACCCTCCAACTTCCAAACAAACAGCAGTGCCTTGATGGCACGAGACCCAAATATCCAGGGGCCATTATTAGTAGTCCCTTTCCTGCTGCCTTTAATCCTCCAGCTACTGTCGCCCTGCTGCTCTTTTCCAGAACCATACCTGCCGCGTCACACAGTGTGATGCCTTTCCTAGCACATCCTTATTACCCCACGCACGCTTGATTAGCATTCCATGCCCTACAAATGTATCACTGTCTCGGTCCTGCCATACATGCAGCAATGAATTGAAACGAACCGGCCCATTATACCCCATCACCTTATCCCCTCCTCCTGGGGTGCAATACCTCAAATTTGTTAACCATCGTAATCCAGGGCCTCGGCTCCCGAACCTGTCCCATGAAACCTTCCACCTGCGCTCCCCTGGAGCGCCATCTCCGCGGCTGTGTCCCGCAGGTAGACACGTAGCTCCCCACGGTCCCCCCGGGTGATGCGCATCATCTCATCCAGGAATGTGACCTCAAAAGTAGCGCTCCTACAGCGGATGCAGGCAGAGGAGAGGAGAGAGAAATACTTGTATATGATATACGTATGCAGTGACAGAGTCAGTTCATGCAGGTACCCAGTGTTATTCTTCGGAAGCCCATGGGCCCAGGTATCCACCACGTTGCTTCCTGAGTACTGGCGAGAGCATCTGGCCCCGATCCCAATATGTTTTGGCCACATGGTGCTTGCTCTACATTTAGAGCACACTGCGTATATAATATTGCACCTGGAGGTGTGGCTTTTGCTGCTCTCGTTTTCTGAGTTGGCTGGGCGCCTGTAGCTGCTCGCTGTTCCGTTACGTGTCGACCCACGCTGTTAGGCATACAGCCGAAGCATATATCCCTCATCACCGTGCATTTTAACATTCTACTTTTGCTACTTAGGGTTCCCCTTTGGGGAAGACGAATCACAGGGGGTTACGTCCAATACCAAGAACAGGTTGGTTTTGCAATACCTCCCATCTGCGCCACCTTATTACTTAAGGGTGCTGTTGTGCTCTGTTGTGCTCTGGCCGACAAAAAATTTAAATGAACAACCGCGGCCATAAACTATACACGTGCACACACGCTCACCGTGGGCAAACCAGCAATTAATATGCACATAGACATGCATGCGCATACACATGCACACATGCACAAATGCGTGCCAGCGTGAAGACGCACATGCAAATGCGTACACATATACAAATACTAAAATACATGCACACACACGCATTTATACACATGTGAACAAATAAAGCATATGCACGTGCGGCATGGTAAAGAAGAGACATCCTAGAAGCATCCTGTAGTAGCTGGCTACTGAAAAGGCCTCTCAAGATGCTGGCAGGAAACCTTGGCACGTATTTATAGACGATATGTGTGCCATAGTATGTACTATACGGCAGCTAGCTTGTACAATCCTCTCATGACCCTTGCGTGAACTTTTACAATAGTCTATGCACGCTAATTACTTTATGGCACTATCTGGATACGCACGCGCCCGCATGCATGCATGCAATCGAAAACCAAAAGTCGTGGATGTATGAAAAACACGCAAGTGGTAGAGCAAGTGGGACGACCCAAACGGACTGGCGACAGTGCTGTCCGCACCCAAGCACAGCACCACTACTACGGTGTCATGTACATCGCTGATTATGAATAACAGGCCAAGTGAGATAGAGCCCCAAGAGTGACATGGGCGGCCAGCTGGTAAGCGCACCTGAGGAATTTCGGGGGCCGTAGCGGCTCGGGAAGTGACGGTGCAGCCAGTCGTGGCAGCTGTGCAAAGAAGCCACTGCCTACCAGTTCGCCGTACGTCTCCTCGTACACAATCCGTACAGTTGCGGGACTGAGTACCTGCCAGGGATCAACAGCAACAGCCGCCGGGAGCGGATGACTGACTAGGTGGGTCATTCGGGTGGATGGGTGGTAGGTGTATGTGTTTACATAACGCCAGGAATACCCCTTGCAGCCCCTCAACAAGGAGCAAAAAAGGTAAAAGAAGAGTGCCGGCTTCCTTGGAGCTGGGAAAAGGGCGGAACCCCTCTGAATCTGTACAGGCCGTTTGACTAGCTGCATGAACAGCGAGTGCTGCCGGGGGCTCACACCCCAGCCCCCGGTCCCCCAACCCTCCCCTGCCTCATATGCAACGAGAACACCCCGCGGAAGGGGTTAAAAAGGGGGGACGGAGAGAGACCACTACACGAAAAGGAGCGATTGCCACTGCTTGCATCTTACCACCACGTGCCTAACCCCCCTCCTTATTTCCTTTGCCTCAGATGGGTTCCATGTTAAGGGGCCGCACTGCTGCTTGCGGTCGACATGCAATTTTGTACTGTAGTTGCCCCACATGAACCCCTTGAGCCGCGGCGAGGGACGCTAGGGAGAGAGGGCGGCGATTGAACCGCATCACGCGGTGGGGTCGGTCGCCCCAGCGGGTGCACTGCAGGCTGCGACAATGGCAAAGGCCACGGTGGGGCATCACTGCTGAGCGTGCAAAGGCTTCACAAACAAAAAACATGGTCAAAGCGTCCATTACACTTGGTCAAACCATCTTCAGCATGCGCTATGCATTTCATCCTGCCCGCTGCCGGTGGTCCAGTGGCGAAGTGCCCGGCGGCGAAGCCGCTGAGCGCTGCACAGAGCAGCAGACAGCGGCACTGCTGTTGAGTGCGCCTCCGCAAACGTCTTGCCGGTTCCTGCTGGCTGATTGTTGCTAATCATGATATATAACAGCTCATAATCAAAACGCTAGCCATACGTGAAACACAAAGGTCCCCCGTCCGGCAAGTTGTGTAAGTCACAATGGCTGGTTGTGGAAAGACGGTCGCAACCAGCGGGTGTTTGATTACTGCGTGTCGCCACCTCGGGTTCCAATCGCGAGGTATACGGTACGTGTTGGATTGAGGTTTAGAGCACAACCAGCGGGAAGCACGTTCCGTTGCTCCATGGAGCCCGTGTGGAGCTTGTCCATCCATACACACACGTTAAGGTTTCTATCAGCAAGGATAAACACGTTCTTTCCTAAGTTGACAGAGGATATGTATGAGGCTATTAATATTGCTGGCTGCACAGTTGGGAGGAATATAATGTTTGTCGTTGCTAGCTGACTAACGGACGGTCATACAGATAGATTGAGATGGCCAACCAACCCTGTGGGGCCAGGGGGCGGGGGGCCAAAATGCGCTTCACGCTGGAACCTCGCCCCAAAAGCAAAGCTCTCCTCCTCTCCCTCTTTCTTTTTTCTCCTATAATCCCACCCATCCATCCCCCCAAATCACCTCATAATCATGACGCAGAGTCAACCTGGCCGCCGGCGACCCCCATCCCTGCCGTTTCCAGCTCGTTCCCTTCCCAGCCGGGCCCCCCTCCATCCCCTGCTGCTGCTGCTGCTGCTCCCGTTTCTCCGGCCCCAGCAGCAAGTCCTTCAGAGGCGCCGGCAGCTGCTCCTTACTCACCCCCAGCTGCTGGCTGAGGCGCTCCAGCCCCCGCCCCAGCACCTCCCCACCCGGGCCGCTCAGTAAGCCCAAGTCCGGGGGCCCGTAGCTGAACAGCAGCTCCACAATGTTGTCCAGTTTAGCCTGGGGGGAGGGGGGAAGGGGGTTTGAACCGTTCAGAGTTTTTATTGAAGGCGAGGAGGAACATATTAGGCGAGATCAAAATACAGTTTGGCTTGAAAGAAAGAGATTGAAATATTTTTCTATAATTTCCAGTAATTTCCTACTTTTTGGAAAACTGCTCCAGATGGTTATATTTTTGGGGCGTGGCCCCGGGCGCGAAGCGCCATTCAGGTGGCCTCGGCCCCCGGTGTTCACTGCTGTCAGTCTGTCAGTCACTGTCAGGGGCTTACATCTCTTGCTCCGCAGAAAATAGCGTTCAAAAGCTACACCAATTCTACATCGATTGTCCAAAGGAGACAATTCAGATAAATCGGAGCACGAAGATAGCTTTCCATGGCTTCGAGTTTGACTTCCCCTCCCCTCGCAGCCCTTGCCTCTAACGTCGTTGCATATTCCTTACATCATAGATTCCATAAGCAAACGGCATGATCCTTTAAGGGGTTGGTTCCTTCATGCTCGGCAACTTTAGACTGACCCATGGCAACGCTCTAAGCACCCCCCTCCTGGCGTCTCACTCGTGCCTGTTTGATTGTTGTCCTTCTTATTCTCTTCTTCATTCATTCAATTCAAGTTGAAGTAATAACATAACAACATTTCGAGGGCTCCGACAAGCCCTTGTTACTTCACTTTATCAAAAGGAAGTGTGTGTGCCCTTGCGACACACCGTCAGCTTTGCCGCTGCATTCCGACTTCAAAATGTGCAATTGGAACGATCCCCGAATGCGTTCTGGCTGGGAGCGGACAACAATTGGTCCATGAAGCACGGGCACTTTGGCGCGCCTTGAACTGCCACCCAACAGACCGAAGGGCCGGCGTCGAACATGGATGCAACGGTAGTACCACATACATATCAGGCAGTCCCGACTCATGGATTTGGCGACATGATTATGCTACGGCGGCTGCGCGCTTGCGACGATCCAGATCCAGGTCTACACCGCCGTTGTGGCAGACCTACTTGCTACGACCTTTATTGTTTGGGGACTTAATAACAAGTGTGTACTCCAAACATGGCGGCGTTCTTGTGCTTGCACTCCTATGCCGTACGCACTGCCCTGTGAATCAAACGGGGGTCAAGTAGCTGCACCGGGGCCGAGCCCATTTTCGACTTTGGAAAGCCGCCCCCCTAGCCATTCTCTGGCCTTACAATTTTGTACATAAGTTGATGTTGTTACAGGGTGGTTAAGCTTCACCAGTGGCCTCCTTCCCGAGGCAATTCCCTGCTCTCCCCTGCTAGAGGGGCACCCTAAGCCATTCACCCCATCCGACTTCAGAGTGTACTCTTTGAGTTTGGCAACTCACCACCAGCATCCAACCAAATCTAGCGGATCAACGGCGCGTCAACTTAGTTCCTGGTCAGCTCGCGAGTTGATTTTATCACGTCCTACACCGTCCACAAGATGGGGGGCCACCTCCCATTTCATCACCTCTCAAACACCCCGAGAGGTCGGCAGGCGGATTTGAACCCGGACGCGACGGGAGCAGAAGCCAGGCCTTAACCTCTGCCAGCCGCCTGCATAAGTATTTGTCGATTTATTTTTGCTAATTTTCCTAAGCATTACCAAAGCATGCAAACTTATCAGGATAAAGCAAATCTGTAATACCGCTGATGTAAAATGTTTTGCATCCGATAATAGAAAGAGGGTAATTGCATATTGCTCAGCCACCTCTTTATAAGGTAAGGAAAGGAACAAGTGAAACACAATTAAAAGATGAACAGGCTCTTCAGGAGTATCAAAATATTCCACATTGGATTCATATATATTCTTAATCTTCCAAAGGTTTCGGCTGCGGTGAAAAAATGGTATTTGAAACTATTCGTTTAGATCTAAAATTCCTGATACTATCGGCCCGATTCAGAAGAGATACTTTCCCTTGTAGAAAGCAAAGGATTTCCTTAAGACACGGGGTTTCAGCATATTCTTATCTTCATACCCCTGCGAACGCGCATCGTTGGCTTGTTTCTATCCAGTCCTGCACATGTTGCATTTTGTTACATGGCCACTCTCCAGCCACCACTCCCCCATTTTAACCTCAAATCCACAACAGCACGACACACTATCCAGCGAGTTCAGTTCCAAACCCCATCCGCCGTTTCCCGCCCCCCCCCCTCCCCCTCCCCACCCCCTACGACAGAAAGAACGCCCCCCCAACCCCCTCTTCCTTCTCCCACACGACTACATCCTTCCCTTCCCCCCTGCTGCTGCTGCTTCTTTGCTCGAACGTGTTCCATCCTTTAAACTTTCATTAAGTCATCACAGTCAATAAGTTCGCCTGCATGTATTCGTTTGTGTAACTTCTTTTTAAGTATTTAATTCTACTTTTACAGCCTTCCTAGCTCACGGCCCAAGGCCCCCTCAAGGCCCAAGGCCCCCTCAAGGCCTATGACTCCCTTCCTTTTGTACCATTCTCATACTGCTGATGCTGCTGCCTTCTCTGTGGTGCTGTCTATGTGGTCGTTTAATTAAGCGGCACATTCAGAGCACCTACATATATGTAAGCCCCTCATCCTCTTCCTTCCTTGCCACCTCATATTGCCCTCTTCCCCCTCTTTCCCCCATAAGCTGCCCCTACCCCTGTTGTGCTCTGTGCACTTGCACACTTCCACTACTCCCTAACAGATCACTACTTTCCTACACCCTGGCGGGGTCCGTCACATACATACATACATACATACATACATACATACATACATACATACTCGAAGGTGCGCGCGTGGTGCAGGACTAGGTTCTTCAGGGTACGAGACCGGGTTTTTCGTGTTGCGGCGTCTAGGTGAGATAGGATCTTGGGAACCAGCCGTCTTGGTAGAGCGGTATTGGGGGGGCGCCGAGCTGGCTACCCTCCCCCCCTGTGGTTTCCGGAGGCTTGATCGCCCTGCGTTGCCGCAGGGTCTTCCCGTTTGAGTACTTTTCAAGTTAGACCCAGTGCTGTGGAAGGGCACGGACTTGTGCGGTGTTACCCCCCCGACAGGGGCTATCTCCCCTGGACTAGCCCAGGGAGGGAGAGGCGGAGGAGGGTTGTAGACTGTTTGGCGTCTTGTGGTGTGAGCTCTTTGCGCTCTTTTTTTTGCGTGAGGATTTTTGAGCTTGGTGACCTCCCCAGCCCGGGATGACTCGTCGGGCTCCCGGTCGCCCAGGTCCTGGTTGCGAGCTCTCTGAGATGCTCGGTTCGTTCGGTCGGCAGGAAGAGCCCCCCAGTTGCGACTTCGTTTATGTTAGGAGACCAACGGGCATAGATCCCGTCTAGTTGGAGCGCCAAACAAGCGCTGTTGCGTGCCGGCCGTCGTTTCCCGTGCGGCCTGACCCGGGGGCGGAGTGCATGAGACTAACCAGCCGTATGCACCCGCCCCTCGCGCTGTGCTTCGGCCCTGGGCCCCCGGCTTTTCAGCCCACAGTGTAATCAACGTCATACATACATGTATGTTGCGTGCCGGCCGTCGTTTCCCGTGCGGCCTGACCCGGGGGCGGAGTGCATGAGACTAACCAGCGGTATGCACCCGCCCCCCGCGCTGTGCTTCGGCCCTGGGCCCCCGGCTTTTCAGCCCACAGTGTAATCAACGTCATACATACATACATACATACATACATACATACATACATACATACATACATACATACATACATGCATGCATACATGCATACATACATACATACATACATACATACACACTCTTTCACGGTGCCCCTTACTTACGGGAGCTCCAAGAACACACACGGGGCCGCAACCCCTCCCAGGAGTACACAACCCCTTTCTCCCCACCCCGCCACCACGCACCCCCTCCCCCTCACCGTTTGCGGGTCGATACACTGGTACACCTGACCCAGGATGGTGGGGAACAGCGCCGCGGGGGGCCCGGGGCGGCGACCCCCCAAACTACCTGTACAGGGTAAGAAGGGGGCCACCAGCGGGCCAAGCAACGGCATCAGCAACAGACAGACAGACAGAGGCACAGTCGCGTGTTTAAGTGCGGGCCGTGGGTGTGTGGCTCTCCAGGGGAGTCTGGAACACGCGGGCGACCGTCCCAAGGTACCTTGGGGCCCAGCCACACACATTCAGCCAGCAGGGCGCCAGCGAGCCGGACAACTTGTTCCAGCTCGGCAAGCTGCAGCGAGTTGAGGTGTGAGATGAAGAGGGGTGGATAGGACGTGGACGCGTTGAGTTGCGGCGAAGCGAAGTGAGGTAACTTAAGTTCTTTTCTGTAATCCTGCTGTACGACTTGGTAAGACAGACTCTCTTCCAGCGCTCAAAGCACAAGACGCAGTACTGCAAACTCCTGTACTGCACCCCACTGCCGTATACGGAGCCGTATGTAAGCAGGAAACAGCGACACGCACCTGAGTTGAAACCACTCGAGTAGATCAGCCGCCATGTGCCGGCCAGCTGGTCATTGATACCGCTGACACCAGCACTGCCGCCCCCTGCAACAGGACCTGCTGCTGGTGGCGGTGACGGTGACAGTGTGATGGGGGTCCCCAGGGATTCCATCTGACTGCACAGCTCGTCCACCTCCGCCGCCTCCCGAGCCTGTCGTACATGTGAGACAATAATAAAAGACGTACCTAGACGTTATGGAAGCCATACACATTTGGAAAGCAGTACATCTGCAAGGTTGCATAAGAAGAAGAGTGGCAGTAGTCTTCTTCCTCGCATGCATATTACCTTAAAAAACGCTTTTTCATTTCCTCCATGGAACATACAACGGACATGTATGTATGTATGTTTTGCTGTGTACCCGAAACGCATCTTCACTATGGGGCGGCCACCTAGTTTTACAGCCACGCTTATCACCCAGCGCACCCCTCGACATATCACAGAGTCACCCAACCCAGCACTCCCCCTTGCACTCGATCTCAACTCAAAAGGCCACCCCCGTCCAGAGCTCTGACCCGCCGGACTGGCAGGCGCACGTAGAGGTGCGACCCATCCTTGTCCCCAACCCATCAACACCCCCGCCCCATCCCACCCCCCACTTCGACCTATCCAACCCAATAACCCCCACCCTTCATACCGCTCCGAACAGCCCAAACCAAACCAATCCACATCACCACGACCCAACCCAAATAAAAGTCGTTTTTAAAGGACAATTCAATACAATCAACACCCTGTAAAACCTGCCAACCCCCGTGTTCCGCCCCCGGCCCCCCTTCACCCGTACATCCGTACATTGGCAGCCAGCCCCCGGTCCAAGGATGAGAGGGCCGCCAGAAGGGAGAAACGGAGCCGCTCAATCCGCCGGCCCGTCGGGGGGCTCCCGGGGGGGGCGGGGGCCTCCGCCCCGGGCCCTCCTACAACAGCAGCAGTAGCAGCAGCAGCAGCAGCAGCAGCGGTGGGAAGGTGCTTGGAGACTGAAGGGGAAAAGGAGGAGTGATAATAATAATAATAACTTCACCGAAGCGGCCAACTCTTTTGATAGGTCCAGAGCCCCGGCTACGGCTACGGCGGGAGGAGACCAACCAGCAAAATGACGCAACTGAAGCGGGGGGGTCGGAGGAGGGAGGGCGGCGGAACGCAGGTGGTGGTTCCTAGGTAGGTCAGCTCGGCAGAGGACTGAATGAATGGAAGCAGGGAGAGAGGGGAGGGAAGAGGGGGGGAAGGGAAGAGGGGGGGAAGGGAAGAGGGGGGGGAGGGAAGAGGGGATACCTTCCCCAGTCGTCTGGCTCTGGCCCCTGGCCCCTGGCAGGGGAAAGACGAACCACGAAATGTACAAGAAGGGGGTGGGTGGGGGCGGCAGCTGCTGCCAACACGGGGGATCAAATACGCATTATTAATAAAGGGTGGTGAGAACGGGATTAGGACGGGATGAGAACGGGATTAGGACGGGATGAGAACGGGATTAGGACGGGATGAGAACCGGTTGCAAAATCGATTGATGGAAAGGGGGAAAGGGGCAGGGGAGGCCTCCGGACACCGGAATTGCTCCAAGAGGCGCCACCTCCGAAACCAACCACAGCACTAACAATGAAGTCATAGCCATTGTTCAGGATGCGCCCCTCCCCCCCCCCCCCACACACATACATGTGTGTGTACAGGGGGATGTGTGAACGTTACAAATATCTGACCGGGGCTGACACTGGTGTGTGTATGTATGGGTGTGTATGGGTGTGTATGGGTGTGTATGGGTGTGTATGGGTGTGTATGGGTGTGTATGGGTGTGTGTGCGCGGTACATTGCCATGAAAGCGCACTTTATATGCACATGTAGCGGATATCCTAACAACTCAGATAGCCCGATCAGATCACCTCAGATAACCTACGGTGCACAATTATGAGGCGTACAAAATGATGTAGAAGGTCACGACATGTTGCAGCCGTACAACACATGTACGGCTCCTGGCTCACCTTCCGGAGTCGCATCCACCCCGAGCTCTCCAGCAATGGCAGCAGACGGAGGGGCTCCTAGGACCCCCGCTCCATCTGGCCCCCCCGCCCCCAGTTGTTGTAAGTTGTTGTAAGTGCCGCCGCAGATGTAGCACCACCACATGGCGCCACATGGAGCGGCAAGATACAGGAATGAAGTTGGCAAGCGAGCAAGTGAGCAACAACTCCTGTCAGCTTGAATACCACCCACACACGACATCGACATCGACATGCACACTGCCTGCCTAAATAAGCAATAAGGAATACGGACTCATGTTCATCTGCTACATGGCCAGCTCTACTAAGCTACGGGACACCTACACATCATGGGACATGACACGTCCATGCTCGTGATGGTGATGGAACGTGGTCGGGGCAGGAGGTAGTGCTGCTGGCTGGCTGGCAGGTCCCCGGCCCAACCCTCATATATCATGTCTTCTGGGTGTTTTGGAAACCGGCATAGTTGTTATTGTGATCCCACCATTCACTCATCGTTTTTTTAGGAGAGGGCAGCCACGCGCACAACCCCAGGAGGAACACATGCCCTGGCTCTCCCCTATCCTGTTAGCGACTTTACCGCCGGCCATGATGAGTAAGGATTGCGTTATTACCTGGCGGTGCTGCCGCTGCTGTTTGTGAAGTTGGACCCGGATCAGAGTTGGCTGACTGTAATGACACTACCAGCGATCGGCGCCACGACTTTCCCCATGGATAGGTTGCGGCGCTGCTTGAGACGTGGGTGGAAGGGGATGCCTTCCCCCACGATGTATGCGCTTGCGGAGAAAGAGGAGGTACGTGACTTCTTGTTGATCGGTGGCGAGAAGCCACAGAGGGAAGCCTGTGCGTCCGGCGTTCATGCAGCAGTTAAGTCAGAAGTCAGGTTCTCGGAGCCAAGATAGAAATGGACATCCCGGTCGTAGATGTGTGAGTGCGTGTGCGATAGGGCGATGATGCCCAACATTTCACAAAGTGATGTCTTGGATATGATGTGAGCGATGGCACGGCTTAACACGGCCAACCAACGGTAACGCTATGGGCAATGACCTGTTGTCCTGCCGACGCTCGAAAAGACAGCGTCCCTACCATGCCAGAATTGCATTGAGCTTTACAGCCATGCTTCACATCATGTGCGCTCCAAACTACTACTTACTTTCTTCCCGGCGGGAGTATGCTAGTCGCAGATTTGGTGTGCAGCTCAGACATCTACTTTGATATGCCGTTCGTGTTGTCCTTTCAGAAAATAGATTTAGTTGAAACGTTCAATCCAATCGGCGTGGTATTAGTCTGCGGCCAGTCACACTTCAGAATCTACAAAGCAAAAGTGGACAGCTTCCTTCCCAGCATTCAAAGTGTCCCGACAAGGATAACTTGAACTTGCAAGTTGGCCTGCTGTCACATACTCGCATGATTGCAGTTACAACTCGGCAATACATGTTGTACTTACCGTACTGGCCAGTAACATGTGTCCATCATGCGGCGCACATTCAATCAGTAGATGGATTATATAGCAAGTAGGTTTTTCGAACTCGATTTTTTCGAACTCGGTATTATCATATGCTCCAGTGACAGCCACCAACAGACCGGAGACAACACAGCCAACAAAACACTGCGTCGGCAAAGCCGCCGGTTGACCGATGCATTCACTCACGCCGCCGAAGGGCTGGTTTGGGTTTGGGTTTGGTTTGCAGCCTGGTGGAGGTGAAAGCCATGGGCGGCAGGTACGTGAATTCCTCCTGCCACTGCTGGCCGGGTGGCATACCCGGTGTCACACCCGGGCCAGTGAAGGATTGACTGACACCCATAACCAGCGGAAGCGCCGGCAGCTGAGGCTGGCCGGTAGAGCTGGCGGGGGCCCGCAGCCTAAAGCTGACTTGAGAGCACCCGGACATTCTGAGACGTGTTGTAACATTCCCCAAGCCGAGATCACTCAGGCACAGGAAATTTTGTCCAGGAAGATTGGCGAGTATCCATCAGGGCATGCTTAATCCCTGTCCTGTTCATCGAATACCCACATAACATGTAGCAACGTACACATCTGTGTTGGTATGCAAATGCATGTGGCAATGGATATATAACTTGCCTGGAATGCTGGCCTCCTTGAGGACAAGGGTTGAAGAAAAGTAGGGACCCGCCCCTACCTCTTACATGAGGCAGGGGGATGTCATGGCACTTGTGGTGGAGGTGTCGACCATGGGTGTCGACCATGGTGGGGCCAGTCTGTCTCCTCATCATGTCGGCTATCGGTCGGTCCGTCTACGTGTCCGACCTCTGGGCCGCTGAGTAGCCCAGTTCCGGGTTCCTGTGAAGTTGAAGTCACCCAACCAAATGAGAGCGGTGTCACTGTCTGCAGCAGCAGCAGCAGCAGCAGCAGCAGCAGCAGCATATATTGCATTGGCAGCCAGGATGTTGCTGGACGTAAGGTGCCATGTATCTGCTGCCACTGCTGTTGAGGAGCCTGTGGGGAGATAGACATTGCCTACTTGCAGGCGGTGGCCTTTCAAACAGAGTGTGAACCGTCCCTGCACACATGCTGGGCGGGTTGTGGTCAGTTCCAGGCGGTTCCAAGGCTCTGCAAGCCCCTGCCAGACGAGGCACAGATGAGTACTGTGTATGTTGACCTAGACCATATGCATGAGTGTGCCGCCACCCACCATCCTAGGGTGTTCACCTGCAATGCTCCTTGGTGCAGGCCCCGTTCCAAAAAGGCACTGGTGCTGGATGTTGGTATGAGATGGGTCTCCTGTGGATACACCACAGCCAGGCATAACTCTGCCCACTGCCGTACTGCTGCCTGCAGGCAGTTCCCGTGGTCCATGTTGCCAGCAGCCCATGCATGTTGTGTGTGGTGGTCTGGAGTGGTTGGCAATGTATGATGTTTTGCAGCTGGCTTTCCTCGTCCCCCTGATTATAAACTAATTAGTCGGAGAGCTCCGCCTCCTTGGTGGCGGGGTTGAATTCTTCCTCCTCCTTATCCCCATGTGTTGATGCTCAGGTGGGCTGTGGGTGCTCAGATGTTGTTGGAATTGCAGGGCGGCTGCTCGCTGTGCATGCGGGTCACCCAGGGGGCCGGGTCTCCGGCTGTCAGCTGCACAGGTGCAGGCTTGGGACCTGTGTGCCGTATACGTATGGCGGCTGGGCCTGGCTGCTGGTCTGCAGCTGTGTGGTTAGCTTCTCTCTGGCTGCTCTCTGCACCTTCGGCAAATCCACATTTCTCTTTCGGGCCTCCATGGCAATACAGGTCTGTGCTTTGTTTTGCTCGACACACTCTTCTGCAGTTAGGAGCTCAAGCCATTGCCACTTCCACTTTTTGGGGCCTCAGAGGGTCCTGGTCAGGCTGGGGATACCTCTGCTGTGGTTGCTACCTGGCTTTGTCCATAGTCGCCCGTTGCCTGCCGCCTGGCTCCACCCTACCTGCTGTGAAACTGGAAGGTAGGGGCTGTAGCGGCTGTTGCTGCTGATGGGTCTTGCTCCTGTGGTGGTGCCAGTGTGATGTCCTTCGTCTCCATGCGGATTGTTGCATCCTCTTCCATTATCGTGGGTTCCGCCTGTGTCCCCAGCTCTTGCTGAGATGTTGGCATCAGGGTGGGCACCAGTTCCTGGAATTCTGCCTCATCCAACCTGTGCCGTGGAGTGAAGTCGCAAACCCTGAGGAACCCAGGGATAGCTCTGGGGTCCAGGTTGACAGGGACCCCCTCGACCTCCCAGCGTGAGTGCTCCACCTTGTGTAAGTTTGTAGTAATGGGCAGCTCCACGTCCACCGGTGGGCTGCTAGGTAGGAGTTGGACTGGCCCCAGCTGAAGCCATCCCTTCCTGACTGCTGGGGAGGTGGTAAGCATTGCCAGGCCACCTTTCTCCAGATCAAGATGCTGATCTCTTGCACTGTAGTAAGCAGCATTTCCCTTAGAGTATTTCAACGATTACTGTTAACAATAACTGTTGATTCGTTAACGACTCGACTCGAGTTTCGTACATGTTACGAGTTTCGTCACATGTCTCGAACATGGCGGTTGTTCGCAGCGAGCCTAACGGGCTGGGGCCCCGGGCCCCAACGACATTATTCTAGTACGCAGGACCGTGGTAGGGAATCTCCGGCAGGTAGGCCGAGATATAAGCTACCCAGGCGGGGTGCTCTGGCCAGACACTGAAGTATCACGACTACTAGGTGTTCGAAGTTCAAGACTCCGCTGCCGCCGTCTATATTATTTTCGTACGCGTCTATGTACGCTAGTGCTTGTCGCTGCGTTGGACTTCTTCCTGCCTCGGCGAGGACTGTCAACTCTACACTTCCGCAAAGCCAGTCGACCCATCAGGTGAGCGACTGCTACATGCACCCTGACGCCGCTGGGGAGTGCCTGTTGCGGCATTTGCGGGTGATTCACAGCCCGAGCGGCCGTGCAGCCTCCATAGTTAGTAAAGCAATTTGTTGATAATGGCCTTGCCAAGTGGTACATCCAGCTGGGGAGTGTATGTCTGCGGGGTTGGAACTGCCAGTTGATTTCCACAGTTACCGTCCTGCGGGGTTGGAACTGCCAGTTGATTTCCACAGTTACCGTCCTGCGGGGTTGGAACTGCCAGTTGATTTCCACAGTTACCGTCCTGTTCGAGAAATAGCGGGACTCCCGCTGGAATACTGTTCATTAGACCCATTAGGAGCGGCTTGGTTGTGGCCAAAAGCCACTGAGGTTGTCAGATGTCCATTTGCATGCTGTTTTGGTGCGGAGGTCATCCGTGCCTGTCCATTTTCTGACATTTCGGTCTATCTTATCTCAGCATTTTGTTTTGAGGTTCGTGAACATGTTGTAAATATTGCATTCGCTTGTGTTGTTGTTGATGGGGTGTTACACTGTGGGCGCCTCGTCCCGAGAAAGGACGAGCACTACGGGGGCGCTGACCGGGGGCCGAAACACAGCGCAGGGGCAGGCGCGCGGCTCTACGTCCGTCTGTTCCTCCGTGCGCACCTCACTCCCTCACTCACGCCAACCGGGACGCTCTCCTAGCCTGTTGATGATGATGTTGTTGTTGTTGTTGTTGATGGGGTGTTACACTGTGGGCGGCTCATCCTGAGATGGGATGGTCAGCACCTGGGCCCTGACCGGGCCAATACACAGCAGCAGTGCAAGGGTGCGCATGCAGCTCTGCATCCGTCTGTTCCTCAATGCACGCCTCCCTCACTCACACAAGCCAGCGGGGGCGCTCTCCCAGCCCCTGGCTAGGCAACTCAACGGTACAGAAGGTTGCAAACCGTACTAAGTGAGAGCCGTGCGAGAGGCACCACACACACCACCTGGCGTGGCCCCCTTCCACCCCTTCGCCTGGCCACCCTACTCTCATGCTCTCGCAACTCTAGAGCGCAAAAAAAAACAAAAAGAAAAACGCCACTGGGGGCAGGGGCTCTACACATCGGGCTTTGCCATAAACTCAAATGACGAGGCGAGGGAAGACCTACCCCGGCCAGGCATGGCCCCTCAGAGGGGCTGAACCCCCTAGCCAAGGACACCCACTCAGTCAGCAACGCACGCCGGACAAGAGCCGAGGCCGCGGCTACAGAAACCGAGTACAAAAATGAGCACCTGCATGCTGGTCCCTGAAGACCAGCTACTTGCCTGCAAGGCCGCAAGCAACACACACCTCCCAGGAGCTACCCTTACACCTCACTCGTCCACATACACCGGAGGGAAAAACCCACAGGACCGCACGGCAGTCTCCTCCCGGGGGTTACAGGCTCCTGGATGCTGTCCAGCACGAAACCAAGCAAAACACATATTTATTGCCACGGGAAGAACGACAAGCCAGCATGGCGGCCCCCTATAGACCCCGGAAAAACACAGCTCACAGGCACGTCCTGCTCTCCTACCACACTGAGAACAGGTTGAATCTGGTTGACACTATTGTCTTGTACAGTTTAAAGTTCTGGGTTCGATTCCTGGGTAGACCCCCTACATTATCGGGAGCGAGAGATCCCTAGCTGCTGAGATGTGGAATTGAGGTCACAGTTGATGGATTGAGATTCGCACGCTGGATTGGTTGTGATGATTGCTGAATCCTCTGTCTCTGCGGATTTTCGGGTGAATGGATGATGAGAGATCCTAGAAGGCAGGATCAACCACCTTGGACTTCCAGTTCGTATGGCATAGTACACTGTGGTAATGGTGGATGGTGCTGTATGGTATGATAAAAAGTAGAAATGACAATGTGTTCAAGTGGCCCAGAAGCCTCCCACTCTGTAACAATTCAATACACTGAGAACCCTTCCCCTCCATCCCTGGCCGGCAGGGCCCAGCACCACCTACTCTCTCTCTTCCTCTCCTTCCTCTCCACTGCTTTCCCACCCACCCCCGCTCCCACAAGCCACCTACACTTGGCCCCCGCCGGCCGCCAGATAGCAAACCCCCACCCACCCCTCTTTTCGACGGGGCCCACACACACGGGGCCTCTCTTCCCGGGGAGAGGGCACACACATACACATGAATCACATGCAGCCTGGCTCCACCCTGCCCTGCTAGACTACGTGACCCTTGGCCAGGACACTGCCCGCTCGCCCAGCCCTCCAACTGCCCAAAGCCCCCCTACTCTCCTCGCCCCCTCGCCCTCCCCACCTATCTCTACCCCCTGACTCCCTCCCTCACTCTCCCTGCTCCCCCCCAAAAGAGCTCCTTCCCCGATGGATGCTAGCACGGCTACCTAGGCCGTGATTCCCACGGGTGCAACACGCTGAATCTGCTCTTCCACGACCGCCAGGATGGGGTGCTGTGGCCCGAGACTCTGTCCCAGCCGTGTCGGGGGGTCTCCAGCATCGCGAACGAGCGCAGACGCGCCCAGAAGTCTGCCACTGCTCCGGTGTGTGATGCGGTGAGGCCAGCGGTGAGGCCCCTGCTGCGCCACCGCTGTTGCCGCCACTGCGTCCCCGCGAGCCCCTCGAGCCCCCGGTTCCTATGTTGGCTGCTGCCATCCAAGGGGCCCCTCGGTGTCCTGAACGCGCCACCAACACCCTGGCCCGCCCAACCACCATCCTGGCCTGCCCCGCCGCCACCCGCCCTTGGGAGCAGAAGAGTGGATCCACCCCTCTGCATACACACAGCCCGCAGCGCACCCCGCCGCGATAAACATGACCTCTTTCCCACCCTCCTTCCCTCCCCTACATACATACATACATACATACATACATACATACATACATACATACATACATACATACGGACATACTCACACACAGGCGCGTCCTGTGTCCGGCCAAACAGGACCCTAAGTAACAGGCCCCGCATGTGTGTATGTGCATATATATGTATGTGGGTGGGTGTATGTTGCGCCTTGGGTTACATCAAACGTGTGACGAGCCCGTACGAGCCCTGAGGGGGCTCACGGCGGTATGTAGGTATGTATGTATGTAGGTACATAGATAACTTAGCTATGTGTATGTTATGGTGGGGGCTAGCCAGCACGGCGCAAAGATAAAAGGCTGAGCGCGGTTGCAATTAAAGACACGATAGGAATGTATATGACTAAGTAAATGCATGTATATCTTTATGTATTATGTATTATGTGTGTTTGCCATCATCGAGCCGCCGTTTCCCTGCGGGTGTAAAACCACACCAGCCACATGGCGCATGTGTGTGGTGTGTCCCGTCCATGGCCCCCTACCCTCCCGGATTGTATGAACACACACACACACACACCCGCACACATGCATGCGCGGAACTTGTAAACTACACTTTGTATGATGCGCATTGTTTGGAATAAATGGGTATGTGTGTCTATGTGCCCGCATGTGGCCTAAATCGGCAACATGAACGGGCGCTACGGCGCTGGAGCTGTCACTGCCGCCTGCCTCTGTCCCCTCTCCCGCTCCCCCCCCCCAGGGGGCCCCAAACGAGCCCTGGCTGGAAAAAGAACAACAAGAATGTGCGGGTGGGTGGGTGGGTGCGTCTTGGGCACCCCACCCCCCACAGTCATACGTCAGCGAGAAACCCTCTCGTACAGCACCTCCTCCACCACCTCCTCATACTTTCCTTCCCTCATCATGTTTAGAAGTCCGTCAGTCCGTCAGTCCGTCAGTCCGTCAGTCCGTCAGTCACCTCTCCGCTTTCTCCACTGGTGCCACTCTGTTGATATCGATACCAATACTGGTACTGGTACTGATACTGGTACTACTGAATGTGATACTACTGCTACGCGACGCCTGCGCCGGTTGCTGCTGCTGCTGGTGCTACTGGTGCTGGTGCTACTGGTGCTGCTGGTGTCGTTGTTGGTGGTGGTGGTACTGCTGCTACTGCTGCTACTGGTGGTGGTACTGAGTCCCGCTGTGATGCCGCCGCCTCAGCCTTCCAGTGGCCGTAGTTGGCGAGGAGGGTCTCCAGGAGGGGCTGGGCTCCCGGGAAGGCGGCCGCCATGGCGTGGACCAGGGGGAGCGCCACGAAGTCGAAGAAGCCGATCTGTTCGAGGGGGGAAGTGGGGGGGGGGGTAGGTGACAAGGGGGGGCAGCTGAAGGGGATGAGANCGTGTATGTGAACCCCCTGTGTATGG